GCTGAGGAATTCTGGGAGTTGAAGTCCACCAGTCATAAAAAGGGTCACAGTTCCCTCACACTGGCTGAGGAATTCTGGGAGTTGAAGTCCACCAGTCATAAAAAGGGTCACAGTTCCCTCACGCTGGCTGAGGAATTCTGGGAGTTGAAGTCCACAAGTCATAAAAAGGGTCATAGTTTCCTCACGCTGGCCGAGGAATTCTGGGAGTTGAAGTCCACCAGTCATAAAAGGGCCGAGTCTAAAGACCCCTGCCGTAGAGTGACTGTATCCCACTTTGCACAGTAAAACCAAGTCTGGCTTTTCTTTTTGAACAGGATCAATTAATCAGACATGTGGCAGAAAGTTGTTCAGCTCTCCTTCATTTGGATTTATCTCACACGGACATTTCAAACGGAACGCTTGCACTGCTGCCTAGGTGATATCTAGAGATAAATATGTATAGGGCAGGGGTCCCCAACCTGTGGGCTGCGGCCCGGTAGTAGGCCATGGCCTGCTGGCCACTGAGCTGCGAGATAGGCCGGGCAGTGTGCTCGTGTGTGCGCGCACACTCCTTCACTTGCGCTAGCGCCACGGCTGCGGGGCGCAAAAACGACACTGCACCACGGGCCGTAAAACGGGACTCGGGCACAAAAATGGGACACCGCTGCACCTTGGGGCATGAAAACGGGCCGCTGCCGCCATGGCGCAGGGCGTAAAAACGGCCCGCCGCTGTGTCGGGTGCGAAAACAGGCTGTCGTGGCACCGCTGCGCTGCAAGGCACAAAAATGGCCACCGCCACACAGCAGCGTGCAGAATCAAGGCGCCATGCAAGAACGAGGCAGGGCTAGTGAGTATCATGCAGGTGCTAGCCCCGCCCCGTGTGCTTGTAGCCCCGTGCGCGCTCGCACGCACACATGTAAAATGCTTCTCGCTCCCTTCCGGTCCGCCAACTGAGAAAGGTTGGTAACCTCTGGCATAGGGTCTCCTGCTTGAGCAAGGGGTTGGATTAGATGACCTCCAAGGCCCTTTACAATTCTTTTATTTTGTTCTCCAAGAAAAATCCAGTCCGATCCCTGTGACATCGCCCCCCCCCACTGCCACAGGCTGGGAAGCAGATTGTATGCTAGTGACAGCCCCCCCCCCCACACAATGATAATACAATAAATGGAAATATAGACAGGCCGAGGTGTATACAGGGAGTCCTTGACTGTTTAGTGACTATTCAGAGTTATAACGGCGCTGGGAAAAGCATTCCCGTGGTCACGTGATCAAAATGTGGACGCTTGGCAACTGGTTCATACTTACGACGGTTGCAGTGTCCCAGGTGTGTTTGTGTGTGTCACGTGATCCCCCTTTGACAAGCAAAGTCAAGAGGGGATAAAGCCAGATTCACTTAAAAGAACCGTGTTACTTAACAAGTGCAGCGGATTCGCTGAACAAATACGGCAAGGAAGGTTATGAAACAGGGCCCTGCCTTGCTTAGCAACGAAAACCGGCGGCCCAATTGTAGTCGTTAAGCCGAGGATTACCTGTAACTCTCTTAGCTTAACCGACCTCCTGTGGCTGCTCTTAATGGAGATAAAGTGAAGGCATCGCCTTCTATAGCCCTACTGGGTGGAAAGTGGAGATATTATTCCAGCAAGTACAGTATTTCAACACCTCTATTTGTTATGTCGCTATGACAATTCCTCATTCCACAGTGTGAACCTGCACTGAGACTCAGTTCTTCAAGTCCACCGGGTTAATTTCTGAGTAATTCAAAAGGGCGAAATCTAAACTCATCAGATCTGCAGACCGCACCAAACTGGGCAGGGGTAGCCAACACTCCAGAAGATAGGCTTAAGATACAGCTTGAACGCTGGGCCCCATCTAATAAAATTAAAATCCAGGGGTCTACATTTAGGCAAGAAAAAAACAAATATACTGTATAGTACAGGTGGTATCTGGCTTAATAGTAGCAACTGTGAGACGGATTTCGGAGTCCTAGTGGACAATCACTTAAATGTGAGCCAGCCATGTGTTGCAGCTGTCAAAAAAGCCAACACAGTCCCAGGCTGCATTAACAGAGGGATAGAATCAAGATCACGTGAAGTATTAATACCACTTTACAAGGCCTTAGTAAGGCCATACTTGGAATACTGCATCCAGTTTTGGTCACCACGATGTAAAAAACATGTTGAGACTCTAGAAAGAGTCCAGAGAAGAGCAACAAACATGATTAGGGGACTGGAGGCTAAAACATACAAGGAAAGGCTGCCGGAATTGGGTATGTCTAGTTTAATGAAGAGAAGGACGAGGGGGGACATGATAGCAGTCTTCCAATATCTCAGGGGTTGCCCCAAAGAAGAGGGAGTCAAGCTATTCTCCAAGGGGCCTGAAGGCAAAGACAAGAAGCAACGGGCGGAAACTAACCAAGGAGAGAAGCAACCTGGAACTAAGGAGAAACTTCCTGATAGTTAGAACAATTAACCAGTGGAACAACCTGCCTCCAGAAGTTGTGAATGCTCCAACACTGGAAGTTTTTAAGAAGAGACTGGACAACCATTTGTCTGAAATGGTATAGGGTTTCCTGCCTGAGCAGGGGGCTGGACTAGATGACCTCCAAGGTCTCTTCCAGCTCTGTTATTCTGTTATTCAGTGTTCCATCCATTGTTTTCTCTATCTTATAATATAAATTCTGCCTTGTGAGCGCCTAGCGTGACTCAGTTCCATTGCAGAATCAATTGCTTAGGAAACAGAGATGTGACTGAAAGCTTACAAGCCTCTATTAATTTTCTGCAAAAAATACACAAAGCATGCCCAATTATGGTTAACACCAAAGCAGAGAAGCCATTGCTTTAATAATCAGAAACGATGGTTATAATTTACAGCGGCAAATAACATTTGGCCAGAAATCCAAAAGAATAATAA